ATTTTCACTGATTATCAAAACTGAGTGGAGCTCGTTGTCGCCAGCGGTAATTGAACATAGGGGAAATAATTTTTAAAGTCGACCAGACTGGCAAAAAGACTTAAGTTAGATTAAACGTTGTGACTTAAATAAAGATCAACTTTTTAAAAATGTTTCCCTATGTTCACTGATTATGTCATTATTGCAAAAAGCGGCCTGACCTTAAAACGTCTAATTGCGGTAATCTCTCGCCGAAATTGCCAGCCTCCTTATTTAACAACTCCGCTTATCAAAGATTAAAACGAAAGCACTTTAGCAATTACCTGAGAGGATAGTTGAAGATGTGCATTTGTTAAATTCCAGATAACCCACGACTTTAAATTTAATTTGTAAAAATTCTTACTGCAAACTCTGCGCGCCCGCGCGAGGTCACGAACTCCGCCATATCGCGGGAGCCCGATTTCGATCGCGTTCGAGGAGCGATCGTCGAGATCACCGGCGGCCCGGTTCCTTTGCGGAACGAGGAAAAAAATTGGAGGTAGCGGGTGAATTCCTAGAATATATTTCAATCTGAAACGCCGGCCAGCCGGAGATTTAATTAAAGATGCATTGCGCTTCGTTTCTAAAGTTGAATGAAGCTCAGCGGTGCGAACTTGGGGGGACCCGCCCTTGATTACGTTCTATCGCGCCAGGTATCCACATTTTATTTTGCTCACGGAGTGTGTACATCGCACGGCCGCGATGTCAATTAAACTTTCCCCGCCTTTATGTTTGCCCTTCGAATATCGCCGTGAATCCAGCGGATGAATCCGTACACGAGGCACGAACTTTTATTTTTATCTCGCGAGGTTACGCTCTCCGCTTTCGCCGAATTAATTGCGATCGACCGGCCAGAAGTTATTTCTGGGATTATATAGCAATGAACTTCGAAAAGGGCGCGCGCGCGCATTCGGAGGAAATTCAGCCGCGCTTCCGCCCGCCTTTATCGCTGCCCGTTCGACTGCTCCACGTGTTTTCGCGCCCACTTAGATTAATTAAACGGCCCGATATTAATTAAATGCCGCTCGAATAAATACGCGGCGGCTGGAAATTGCCGCGCGAGCGCATTGTTCGCGTGGCGTTTTTCACGCGAATGCACCTACGGTTAATCCTAAAGGGCACGCAATCCGCGCCGCGACGCGCATTGCCACAGTTATGCATAATAATCGGACCATTTGCATGAATTTCTTCAGCAATTCCGCGCGCGCTGCGTTACGCCAGGATTTTTATGTCGAAAAATACCGCAGCGACTCCCGGCATATCATTGGCACAAAATATAATGTGATCAATGCCACCCGTGTACACGAGCGGCAGAGGGAAAAAAAGATGTAACGCTTCCTCATTAACATGCGAATGTTGCGCAAACAGCATATCATATTCGGGTTTATTTTACTCGGCCGTTTTCATTTTCCCGCCACTGGAGCGACGTATACGCGCCGTGTGCGAGCATCAACCTCGGGGTCGGTCGTGAACGTGCCGGCGCCGAGAGGCGAAGTTCGAGCATGCCGGTCGTTACAATTGTTTCACGACTTTCTTTACGATCGTACCCGGGGCCATTCTAATTTTTCATCGGCATACACGTCGCGCGAACGTCTTTATCCGAATGTTTCGCGTCCGCGCGCACGAGGAACGCCCGGAAATGAGAGGGAATTTTCTGCTCGATCCTTTCGTCGTACTCTTCATTTTCAGCACCTGTGCTGTCGCCGAAAAAGACGGCGGGCGCGCGAATAATGGAATAATGACCTTCGGAATAACAATATCGATTCAAAATGTAATATTAATGCGACTCCGGATCGCGAACGTGAGGAAAGAAGACCGGGGAAAATCGATGAGCAAGTTGAGCACTTTGTACGTGCCAGTTCGTTGTAATTTTTACCATTTGGTCAATTCTTTAGTTAAGTCAATTGCGAGGGGGAAACCCGAGGGGGAAACCGCTGAGGGCATTGTGGTGTATAAATTCGCGGCATTACCGGGCATCACTAGGCCCTTTTGGGCATTAGTTTGGGCTTAGGCCTTGCTGGGGCATTATAAAGATAAAATAAGATTAAATTAGATAATAAGATAAAGTAATGACCACTGGGCATTAGTGGGAATTGGTGTACAAGATTTTGGTCAGCGGTTTTTCCCCCTCAAGTCAATTGGCGAGGGTAAATTAATTTGTGTAAGTGGAACTTAAGTGCCGTTAAGGTAAAACTGTGAGCAATAATCTTTTAAATGAAGACGCGAGTGACAAAGGAGAAAGTTCAAACGCACTTAACGAGGGTAATTTTTGCCTCCCCGGGTAGCACGTTTCTTCGCGAGCGATAACGTTCGAGTGAAAAACGCGACGCAACGACGCGCAAATAATGTTACATCGCGCATCTGCTGCTCCCTGTGTATTCAACAAAGCGCAACTTGCGCCGATACATAGATTTTGAAATAATAACATCGAAAAACGTTATCGATCGCGGGAATTGCCGACTCTCGTAATGCATTCGCTATCAAAGCACAGCCGCATTCCGCCGCGGGTTTCATAAATGCGATTGGAGCTTCCCGTCAACGTTCGTTCGCTATATTAAAGCCAAAGGCACGCATCGTGCACCTTCAATCTTTACACACACCATCCATATTTACGATACGTTATCAATCAAAAATAAAGTTCCACTGCAGACCAGTCTACATTTTTCTACCAATTATTATTTGGAAATGCCTTTAATTAAACATCAAGCATTTTATTATTTAAGTTGTCGAGCTCAACGAACTCGTAAGTTCCAGCCACGCAATGTGCCTGTAATATTTAGAACAGATATTTTGCGAACGGCAAGGAGAAAGGGATTACAGTCTGCTCGAACACTCGTTAAAATGTTTAATCAGAATATTCTTCAATGTCGCCAGCGGCAATTAACAACGTCGGTGTTTTCTTCACCATACCTGGCATTTTTAATAATACAGAAAATTGTATTATTAAAAATGCCTATTACCTCAGCCCGGGTTTGAACCTACGCTCTAGGCGGGCGTCTCACCTATTCGACCACATAATCTCATCTAATTGCAAATGATTTTCTTATATGAGCGTTTAAAAATATGTAACGTTGTTAAATCTCAAAGAGCTTTTGGATTTGCTCAAAATATATTTTTCTTATTTTACCAAGAAATATTTGCGAGGGGAAAACCGCTGAGGGCATTGTGGTGTACGGATTTGCGTCATTACTGGGCGTTACTAGGCATTTTTTGGGCATTAGGTCTTGCTGGAGTAAGATAAAATAAGATAATAAAACAAAGTAATGGCCACTGGGCACTAGTGGGCATTGGTGTACAAGATGTTGGGTCAGCGGTTTCCCCCTCGGTTACCCCGTTGGCCTAGAGCGTAGGGAGGTCCAGGTTCAAATTTTATCCCTGGCTGAGGTTTACGTTATTCGCAGTAAATTTTCTGTATTATTGAAGATGCCAGGTGTGTGGTCAAGAAAACACTGACGTTGTTAAAGTGTTTACGTCCACATTCACGTTCTAAACCAGTTGCATCTTTTATATACCGCGTCACGTATAACCGCTCGCGTGTAATTCGCATCCGGTCTTCGTTAGAATTCCCGCAGGAATGTCCCCGCGATCGCATCGCTGTCCCACGATCTCGGAAAAGCGTGAGAAACGTCGTTTTAATCGTCGCGTGCAAGTGCGATCGCGTGAAAACACTCGAGGCAAAAATCCACCTTCGGACGCGACAAGCTCGGGAAAGTCAGGGACTCGGAAAAAGAAAATAGAGGAAGAGACCCCACACACACACGCGCGCGCGCGCGCGCGAGGCCTCCTTCACGAGCGCGCCTCTCGCCGATATTTTTTCTACGCGGATTTGCGTGACGCGGATCCGTGTGACGCTCTCGAACGTCGCTACCTGTCCGTCCCGTTCGAGGGGATCACGTGGATCTCCATCTCTCGCGGGTTCGACGGGCGATCCCCGAAGAAGAGCGGGGTGCGGAATCGCGCGGGGCTGCTAGCCTATTTTCTACTCGCGGGCCGTGCTCCACTTTTGACATCTGGACGATAACACGTCGCGCTACATGCGACCCACATAAACAGGTGCGCCTCGCGCGCACTTGCAACGTTATGCAACGACCAAAGAGAGAGAGAGAGAGAGAGAGAGAGAGAGAGAAAAGAGCGCGTCGCGAGGGTTAACGCGTAGCTTCCGCCTTCGGAGCGCGACAGGTTGACTCTCGTCGCGGATTCGCTCGATCAATCGGCTCCGCATCGGGCGAGCGAGGGTCGTGCGTCGGCACTTTCGGAACGAAGGCACTGCGGTACGCGAGCCAATCTGGCGACCGTCCGCGTTAAGTTGCACGTTGACGATATC